ATAGGTGGTGATATGCTCCTAAATGTCTGAAGTCCCATCATATTTCGGCACATCGGGCATTTTAAACTGCTTCGAGATCAATTCTAGTACCACGCTTGGTTTGTATAGAAATTGAGAGTACTTCTTTGAGTCCGGTCCTTTCAGCACCGGTGGTGCACCCGAGATTTGGTGGGCGTTCACTTCCCTCATAAACCGTATGAGTTCGTTTTTGAAGGGATCTCTCTCGTTGTTGTGATTGGATCCGCTCCCCCCGGCCCCATCGAAGCCGACCTCCCCCCTCGGGGTATTGTTGTCGACCCTCTGCGTTGTTTGATTTGTGGGAGAACCGGGAGGAACTGGACCTCGTCCATTCGCGTTATTGGAAACACTCGATAACGCCTGCTTTAGCTCTGTCACAACCTTATCTTGCCGTGTGAGATGGCCTAGAATGGCCTCTTATTGTTCCTGCAGCATCCTTACTGCTTCAACAATGTGTTCCTCTTCAGCATCATCAGGAGTTGCCTCCCGAACATGTCGCGGGTACCGCCTCCCGTGGACCGGTGTGGCCTCGTTCCCCTTCACTGCGGATATCACTGATTGAATCTTCGTGCTGAGGTTGATTTCATTGTGCCTCAAGATTGATTGTGTTGTTAACATCATTATCTGCCATTTTCTATGATGTTTTGCTAACAAAAAATCAAACACGTTAGTAAAAAAGGCAAGGACCAACTTAGTTACACAACTGTCTAGCCCCACAATATAACGACCCGGCCGGTCATTTCGAGAGCTATAGCCCCGTTTTCTCCATTTCTACTTCTTTTTGTGTTATTCAGCTATATTATATTATACCGGGTTAGTTGGTTCGGGTCCGGAGTGGTTTCGAAGTGGAATGAGACACTTAGTCTCTTATTTAAAACCTTAAGTTGGAAAAGTCAACTGGATGTTGACTTATGTGTATACAATCTCAGAATTTAATTTTGATAGTTCCGTTAGCTCCGTAAGGTAATTTTGGACTTAGGAGCGTGTCCGAAATAAAATTTGGAGGTTCGTGGTAGAATTAGGCTTGAATTGGCGAAATTGAAAATTTGGCGATTTTGGGTCGGCAGTGAAAAATTTGATATCTGGGTCGGAATTGAATTTCGGAAGTTGGAGTAGGTTCGTAGTATCATTTGTGATGTGTGTGCAAAGTTTGAGGTCATTCGAAAGTGGTTTGGTTGGTTTCGGCATCAGTTGCCGAATTTGAAAATTTAGAAGTTCTTAGGCTTGAATCCGAGGGTAATTTGGTATTTGGATGTTGTTTTGAGTGATTCGAAGGTTCGACTAAGTTTGTATGTTGATAAATGACTTGTTGGTATTTTTGGTTGAGGTCCCGAGAGCCACGGGGTGATTCCGGGTGGTTAACGGATTTGTCGAAGTTGGAAAATATAGCTGAAGCTGCTGCTTCTGCTATTTCTGCACCTGCGGAAGGAAGAGTCGCAAGTGTGAGACTGCTGGTGCGAAAGGGAAGTCTGCAGGAGCAGGCAATGTTGGGCTAGGCAAAATGCGCAGGTCCTAGTTGGAGTTTGCATCTGCGAGCCCGCAGGTGCGAAACCTGGGGCGCAGATGCGGAAAGGGGGATGCTGGGCAGGCTTCGCAGAAGTGGAGGAAACGCGCAGGTGCGCCTTCGTAGGCGCAGGGTTTTGGGCCGCAGATGCGCAAGCTGGGATCCTAAGTGAGTTCCACACCTGCGATGGATTTTCCGCAGGTGCAGTGGCACAGAAGCATGAAATTTTCCGCAGGTGCAAAAAACCTGGGCAGAAACCATAAATAGAACCCTTTGCGAATTTGGTTCATTTCCACCATTTTTCAAGTCGGTTTTTGGAGCTTTTGGAGTTATTTTTGAAGGGTGATTCAAGGGCTATCAGTGAGGTAAGTTGCTTGAGCCCTAATACTCGTATATATGGTGATTTTCTGTTGTTTAATCATATAATTAGTGAAAATGAGGGGTTAGGGCTTGAGAATTTTGGAGAATTTAAGGATTTGAAGGACCAAACGATGTCGGATTTTGATAAATTCGGTATGGTTAGACTCGTGAGTGAATGTGCTTTCTAGTTTTGCAAATTTTGTCATATTTTGAGACGTGGTCCCGGGGGGGTGGGTTTGAGCCAAATTTCGGGTTTTGCTCTAATTTTGTAGCTTTTCTTGTGGGATTCATTCCATTAGCGCGTATTGGTGGTATTGTACTGATTTTTAATAGATTCAGAGCATTTGGAGGCCGAGTACAGAGGCAAGAGCATTGCGGGGTAGAGATTTGACCGGTTTGAGGTAAGTAAAGATTGTAAATCTAGTCCTGAGGGTATGAAACCCCGAATTTTTGTATCATTCTACTATTTTGAGGTGACGCGCATACTAGGTGACGGGCGTGTGGGTGTGCACTGTTAGGGATTGTGACTTGGTCCGTCCCGTAGCAACTGTAAAGTTACATATTTTGTGGAAATTATATGATACTTGTATGTTTTGGAAAGTGTTTCAGTAAATTGGGCTGAATGCCATGTTTGGGCCTTGTGCCAGTACTTTTTGGGATTGAAAATTTATACTCAGTCACGGTTATACTTGATTATTGCATAACTCAATTTTTTGACTCCATTTTGATGCATATAAATGTTGTTTTGGGCCGAATGCCCTGTTTTTACTTAAATGCCCGAGTGGCTTGAGAGGTTTATAACTGAGTGAGGCCGAGGTCCTAATTTGTGAGGATAAATATGGGATTGGGATGCACGTCGCAACATGTTCGATTAATTATGCGATCATTCTGCACGTCATAAAGTCGGACAAAACCTGCGACTTAATCGCAGTCCTATGTTTATATTATATGTCAAATTCACTCATTTCGATGGCCCATTTGGCTAGCCTACCCGAAAGTTCAGGTTTATGAAGGATATTCTGCAGGGAAAAGGTGGTCACCACAATTATCGGGTGGCATTGAAAATAAGACCTTACCTTCCGAGCGGTGACTACGAGGGCCAATGCTAGCTTCTCCAAATGCGGGTAGCGAGTCTCTGCTCCTGTTAAAATTCTACTAACATAATAAATGGGAGATTGTGTACCTTCGTCCTCACGGACTAAAACGGCACTTACCGCTACCTCCGAGACTGCGAGGTAGATTAATAATTTTTTGCCTTCCTCCGGCTTCAATAGTAATGGAGGACTTAATAAATACATTTTCAAATCCTTCAAAGCCTGCTGGCATTCCGAGGTGCATTCAAAGTTGTTCTTTTGTTTTTGAGCGACGCAAAGAAATGGTGGCATTTCTCTGAAGACCGAGAAATGAACCTGCTCAAAGTGGCCAATCTCCCTGTGAGCCTTTGAACCTCTTTTACACTTGACAGCTGGTGCGGGATGTCTTCGATGACTTTAATTTTATCGGGTTTAACCTCAATCCCCCTTTGTGACACCAGGAATCTCAGGAACTTGCTGAAGCTGACCCCGAATGCACACTTTTCGGGGTTAAGCTTCATGTTATTCTTCCTTAGGATGTCAAAAATTTCTTGCAAGTGTTTAAGATGATCATATGTGTTTAAAGACTTAACAAGCATATCATCTATATAAACTTCCATGGCTTTCCCTATCTGTTTTGCAAACATCTTGTTTACAAGCCGATGATAAGTATCTCCGTCGTTCTTTAGCCTGAAGGGCATCGCATTATAGCAATATGTGCCGAAATTCATTATGACAAAGTTTTTTCCTATCCTCCACGTTCATCTTAATTTGGTTGTACCCAGAGTAAGCATCGAGAAAACTCATTAACTCATACCCGGCCGTTGCATCAATTATTTGATCGATGTTTGGAAATGGGAACAAGTCCCTTGGGCACGCCTTATTCAAGTCCTTATAGTCTACGCACATGCAAAATTTATTATTCTTCTTAGGAACTACTAGTACGTTATCTATCCAGTCCGAGTACTTTACCTCTCGGATTGAACCGATATCAAGTAAGCGAGTTACCTCTTCTTTGACAAATTTATTTTTGGCCTCGGCAATAAGACATTTTTTCTGTCTTACCAGAGGAATGTTGGAATCCAAGCTTAGCTTGTGTACCGCCATTTCTGGTGGGATACCTGTCATATCCGCATGCGACCACACAAAATAATCGACGTTAAATTTAAGAAATTCAATAAACCCAGACCTGAGCTCGGGGTACAGTCCTGTCCCCAAGTGGAATTTTCTCTCCAAGAACGTTTCGAACAATGCGAGTTGCTCAAGCTCTTCTGTTGTGGACTTTGTTGCATCCGTCTTTTTTGGTACCTGGAAATATCTTGGCACCTAATAAGATTCTGATGCCTCTTCCCACTGGTTGACTTTGCTTGACTCGGGAGCAAGCACCAGTTCCTGTAATTGCTATGCCGCATGCTCCTTCCCTTTGCTACTAGAGACCAAAATTGCATTCATCTCCATTGCCACCGGTTGATCGCCTTTTATCTGTTTAATCCCCTCGAGAGTTTGGAATTTCAGCAACGGGTGATACGTCGATGGTACAACATTCATCTCGTGCAACCATGGTCTTCCCAGGATAATGTTGTAGCCTATATCACCATCCACCACCTCAAAAAGGGTCATCTTTATCACCCTTTCGGCGTTCGTAGGCAGCAGGATCTCTCCTCAGGTTTTCACGCTTGCTAGGTTGAACCCCACGAGGTGTTTTGTGGCCGCAATAATGCTTCGGGTAAGTTTGTCTTGCTCCAATACCGCCCATTGTATAATATTGGCTGATCTCCCTACATCCATCAGAACACGTTTGATTTTAAAATTACCAATACGTCATTGTGCGGTAGAAACAATCCATCCGCGTCTTCCTCCATAAAAGTGATGTCGTCTTCAGCGACTTCTCGGAGTCTCTTGCTGTGGGTTATTGATGACTTCATCTTTTTTGTTGCCGAGAAAGTAACCCCGTTAATCTCGTTCCCCCCGAAAAACATGTTAATCGTCAGGCCCGGGGGATCTTCTCATGCTTTTGGGGGCTCCGTGTTGTCATGATTGCGACCTTAATTGTTTTTGGACCGGTCACTTATGAATTCCTTGAGATGACCATTTTTCAGCAGTGTCGCCACCTCTTCGCTCAGATGCCAGCAGACCCCAGTCCGGTGACCGTTCGTCCCGTGGTATTCACAATACAAATTAGGATCCCTCTGGCTGGGATCGGATCTCATCGGCTTTGAGAATCGTGCTTCTTTGATGTTCCTCATAGCTGATAGCAACTCTACTACACTATCGTTGAAGTTGTATTCTGAAAGTCTAGGGTAGGAAGGATCTCGAGAACATGACATTTCCTTTTCCTGTAATGAACTGTTGTTCCAGCCGCGATCAATTCTTCTATCAGTAACAAACCTTAATTCCGATCGGAAGCCTCTGCTGCAATCTTCGGCCCATTCATAGGGCAAAAATCGGCTCCTCGAAGACCGTCTATCTGTGTCAAAATCATCTTTTAATTTCTCTTTATTCTTCTCCCGACCTTTAACCGACATCGGGAAGCCAAGCTGATCATCCTCAATCCTTATTTTTGACTCGTACCGATTGTGAATATCCTCCCAAGTCGTCGCTTGGAACTCGAGCAAGCTTTCTTTCAACTTCTGTGAAGCATCGGAACTTCTCGGATTCAAACCCTTGGTGAATGTTTCAGCCGCCCATTCATCCGGAATGGCTGGGAGCAACATCCTTTCCTTCTGGAACCGGGTTACAAATTCCTGCAGCAACTCGGACTCTCCCTGTGCAATTCTGAATATATCAGGCTTCCAGGCCTGCACCTTTCTGTCCCCGACATGGGCCTTAATGAAAGAATCCACGAGCATCTCGAACGAGTCTATAAAATGCTCGGGTAACAACGAACACCTCGTCAAGTTTTCCTTCGTGAGAGTCTCTCTGAAGTTATTTAGCAAAACTGATTCAATCTTGTGGGGAGCTAAATTGTTCCCCTACATCGCCATTGTATAGGTGGTGATATGATCCTGAAGGTCTGAAGTCCCATCATATTTCGGCACATCGGGCATTTTAAACTACTTCGAGATCAATTCTGGTACCGCGCTTGGTTTGTACAGTAATTGAGAATACTTATTTAAGTCCGGTCCTTTCAGCACCGGTGGTGCACCCGAGATTTGGTGGGCGTTCACTTCCCTCATAAACCGTATGAGTTCGTTTTTGAAGGTATCTCTCTCGTTGTTGTGATCGGATCCGCTCCCCATGGCCCCATTGAAGCCGACCTCCCCCCTCGGGGTGTTGTTGTCGACCCTCTGCGTTATTTGATTTGCGGGAGCACCAGGAGGAATTGGACCTCGTCCATTCGCGTTATTAGAAACACTCGATAACGCCTGCTTTAGCTCTGTCATAACCTTATCTTACCGTGTGAGATGGCCTAGAATGGCCTCTTGTTGTTCCTCCAGCACCCTTACCGCTTCAACAATGTGTTCCTTTCAGCATCATCAGGAGTTGCCTCCCGAACATGTCGCGGGTACCGCCTGCCGTGGACCGATGTGGCCTCATTCCCCTCACTGCAGATATCACTGATTGAATCTTCGTGTTGAGGTTGATTTCCTTGGGCCTCAAGTTTGATTGTGTTGTTAACACCATTATCTGCCATTTTTTATAATTGTTTGCTAACAAATAATCAAACATGTTAGTAAAAGAGGCAAGGACCAACTTAGTTACACAACTGTCTAGGCCCCACGGTGTAACGACCCGGCCAGTCGTTTCGAGAGTTATAGCCCCATTTTCTCTATTTTTACATCTTTTTGTGTTATTCAGCTATATTATGTTATACCGGGTTAGTTGGTTCAGGTCCGGAGTGGTTTTGGAGTGGAATGAGACACTTAGTCTCTTATTTAGAACCTTAAGTTGGAAAAGTCAACTGGATGTTGACTTATGTCTATACAATATCGGAATTTAATTCTGATGGTTCCGTTAGCTCCGTAAGGTAATTTTGGACTTAGGAGCACGTCCAAAATGAAATTTGGAGGTTCGTGGTAGAATTAGGCTTGAATTGGCGAAATTGAAAATTTGGCGATTTTCGGTCGGCAGTGGAAAATTTCATATCGGGTCGGAATGGAATTTCGGGAGTTGGAGTAGGTTCGTAGTGTCATTTGTGACGTGTGTGAAAAGTTTGAGGTCATTCGGACGTGATTTGGTTGGTTTCGGCATCGGTTGCCGAATTTAAAAATTTAGAAGTTCTTAGGCTTGAATCCGAGGGTAATTTGTTGTTTGGATATTGTTTTGAGTGATTTGAAGGTTCGACTAAGTTTGTATGTTGATATATGACTTGTTGGTATTTTTGATTGAGGTCACGAGAGCTTCGGGGTGATTCCGGGTTGTTAACGGATTTGTCGAAGTTGGCTAATGCAGCTGAAGCTGCTGCTTCTGCTATTTCCGCACCTACGGAAGGAAGAGTCGCAGGTGCGAGGCCGCTGGTGCAAATGGGAAGTTCGCAGAAGTAGGCAATACTGGGCTAGACAGGATGCGCAGGTGCGAGTTAGAGGTCACATCTGCGAGCTCGCAGGTTTCGAAACCTGGGGCGCAGATGCGGAAAGGGGGATGCTGGGTAGGCTTCGCAGAAGCGGAGGAAACGCGTAGGTGCACCTTCGCAGGCACAGGGTTTTGGGCCGCAGATGCAGAAGCTGGGGTCCTAAGTGATTTACACACCTGCGATAGAATTTCGGCAGGTGCGGTGGCGCAGAAGCGTGAAATTTTTTGCAGGTGCAAAAAACCTGGGCAGAAACCATAGATAGAACCCTTCGCGAATTTGATTCATTTCCGCCATTTTCAAGTCGGCTTATGGAGCTTTTGGAGTGATTTTTGAAGGGTGATTCAAGGGCTATCAGTGAGGTAAGTTTCTTGAGCCCTAATACTTGTATATATGGTGATTTTCCGTTGTTTAATCATGTAATTAGTGAAAATGAGGGGTTAGGGCTTGAGATTTTCGAAGAAGTAATTTAAAGATTTGAAGGACCAAACGATGTCGGATTTTGATAAATTCGGTATGGTTAGACTCGTGAGTGAATGTGCTTTCTAGTTTAGTAAATTTTGTCGAATTTCGAGACGTGGGCCCGGGGAGCGGGTTTGAGCCAAATTTTGGGTTTTGGTCTCATTTTGTAGCTTTTCTTGTTGGATTCATTCCATTAGCTGTATTGATGGTATTGTACTGATTTTTAATAGATTCAGAGCATTTGGAGGCCGAGTCGAGAGGCAAGAGCATTGCAGGGTAGAGATTTGACCTGTTTGAGGTAAGTAACGATTGTAAATCTAGTCCTGAGGGTATGAAACCCCGGATTTTTGTATCATTCTACTATTTTGAGGTGACGCGCATGCTAGGTGACAGACGTGTGGGTGTACACTGCTGGGGATTGTGACTTGGTCCATCCCGTAACAACTGTAAAGTTGCATATTTTGTGGAAATTATATGATACTTGTATGTTTTGGAAAGAGTTTCTGTAAATTGGGCTGAATGCCATGTTTGGGCCTTGTGCCAGTTCTGTTTGGGATTGAAAATTTATACTCAGTCATGGTTATACTTGATTACTGCATAACTCCGTTTTAAGACTCCATTTTGATGTATATAACTGTTGTTTTGGGCCAAATGCCCCGTTTTTACTGAAATGCCCCAGTGGCTTGAGAGGTTTATAACTGAGTGAGGCCGAGGTCCTGATTTGTGAGGATAAATATGGGATCTGGTTGCACAACGCAGCATGTTTGATATAGGCCGAGGGCCTGAGTGATTTATGCCATGATTTGGCTTGATATAGCGCTTGGGATAAAGGAGCCCCTCCGGAGTCTGTACACACCCCAAGTAAGCGCAGGTACCTACTGAGTGTGAGTGCCAAGTGCCGAGTGACTGTGAGGCATGAGTGATTGTGAGGTATGCCCGAGTAGCAAGAGTGATTGTGAGGTTTGCCCGAGGGGCTGTATATAAGTGATGCTTTGCCCGAGGGGCTGTTTATGATTTCTTCATTTTTGCTTACCTTTGCATTTTTCCTCTGCTTGAAAAATGTTGAAAAATATCCTTAAATGATTTTTACTGGAACTGGGTTTAAACGAGATATTTTGATTCAAATCCTGATTTTAAAAGCATGAGGTATTTTACTGAGATTTCATGATATGAACGTTATATGCTTTATTACTCGTCACTACTGCTCAGTCTTTATTTATTGTTGTTACTTACTGAGTTGGCATAATCACGTTACTCCCTGCACCTTATGTGTAGATCCAGATGTAGCTGGACACGGTAGCGGTTGTTGATTGTTCTGGTTGCAGATTTTTCCAGAGATAGCAAGGTAGCTGTTGGCGATCGCTGCCCCTGCTCTTCTCCCTCTTATTTTCCCCTAGATGTATTTAGCTATTTTTCAGGCTGAGTTAGCCTTGATATTGTTAGACAGATTGTAGTAGATGCTCATGACTAGTGACACCCCGATGTCGGATTTTTCCTTCCGCACTTTTATTTTGATTTGAACTCCTTTACGAAGGTTTTTATGTTAAATAACATTAAAATTATCTTTGAAATGAAAATATCGGTATCGGTTTGTTTTGGAAATGAGTCGGCTTGCCTAGTTCCGCGATAGGCGCCATCACGACAAGGGTTAGTTTGGGTCGTGACAGATTGGTATCAGAGCGTAGGTTACATAGGTCTCACGAGTCATGAGCGAATTTAGTAGAGTCTTGCGGATCGGTACGTAGACGTCTGTACTTATCTTCGAGAGGCTGCAGAACCTTTAGGAAGATTCCACATTCTTGAATTCTTGTCGTGTGAATCTGTTGATTCTAGTAACTAAACATCTGTTGTTTCATTCTTTCACAGATGGTGAGGACTCGTACTACCGGTCAGGAGGGCCAGCCACCAGTACCACCAGCCAGGGGTGGGAGAGGCCGAGGCTACGGTAGAGGCCATGGTAAGGGCAGAGGTGCAGCCAGTACAACAGCTGGGGTATTACTTGCAGATCCGCCAGTTGTCCCAGATCGGGACCAGGTTCCAGTTGTTGATGCACCAGCTCAGGCACCACCTATACCTATTGTGATTCCAGGCCTTCAGGAGGCCCTAGCTCAGATTCTGACAGCGTGCACCGGCCTTGCTTAGGCGGTCTCTATCTCGACGGCCGCAGCCACTTCTCAGGCCGGGGGAGGCACTTAGACTCCCGTTGCTCGCACACCCGAGCAGGTTGTTCAGGGACTTCAGACACCAGAGGCACCACCAGCCCAGTTGGTTACAACTGCACATGATTATGTGGTTCCTGCTATGCCTGAGGATGATCAGCGTAGGTTGGAGAGGTTTGGGAGACTCCAGCCACCACCTTTCAGTGGCATAGAGAGAGAGGATGCCTAGGACTTCTTGGACAGATGTCAGAGGATACTCCGTACTGCTGGTATTTTGGAGACTTGTGGGGTCTCATTCACTACTTTTTAGTATTCCGGGGCTGTACTTAGATGGTGGGAGACTTACGAGAGGCGTAGGCCTGTTGGCGCAACAACCCTTACTTGGAAGCAGTTCTCTGTGGTTGTTTTGGAGAAGTTCGTGCCTCGATCCCGCAGAGAGGAGCTGCACATGGAGTTTAAGCGGCTTCGCCAGGTGATATGTCTATGACACAATATGAGATGCGGTTCTCCGAGTTGGCCCATCATGCGATCTAGTTGGTTCCCACGGACAGGGAGAGGATCATGAGGTTTATTGATGGTCTCACTAATCAGCTACATTTGCTCATGACCAGAGAGAGGGTTTCAGGTGCTACTTTTGATGAGGTTGTCAACATTGCTCGGTAGATTGAGATGGTTCGTGGTCAGGAGAGGGTTGAGAAGGAGGCCAAGAGGCCTCGTAGTCAGGGTGGATTCAGCGGGGCTCCTTTTGGGGGTTAGTCCCAGCACGGTAGAGGTCCTCATTTCAGACAGGCTCAGTCAGCTCGGCCATTTCATCGTGCTGCATCATCTAGCCATGGTTCTCACAGTTCTCATCAGGGCCACTCATCACTTAGTGCCCTTCCAACTCAGAGTTAGTCCCGTGCTCCACCTGTTCAGGGATTGTCTATGCCAGGTTCTTCTACCAGTCATCCCGGTGCTAGGGGCTCCCTTCAGTTCCCACCACCAGCACCAGAGAGTTGTTTTGAGTGTGGAGATCTTAGGCATATGTGGAGGCATTGTCCTCGTCGTCATGGAGGTCTATCTCAGTAGAGGAGTCAGCCTCCGACTTCAGCACCAGTTACCTCACCACCCGCCTAGTCAGCTCGGGGTGGAGGTCAGTCAGTTAGGGGTTGCAGTAGAGGGGGAGGCTGATCAGGGGGTGGCCAGGCCCATTTCTATGCCCTCCCTGCCAGACCAGACGCTATTTCTTTAGATGCTGTGATTACAGGTATTGTCTCAGTTTGTCACCGAGATGCCTTAGTATTATTTGACCCTGGTTCCACGTATTCATATGTTTCTTCGTATTTTGCCCATTTTCTGGATATGCCCCTTGAGTTTTTAGTTTCATCTGTACATATATCCACTCCTGTGGGCGATACTATTATTGTGAACCGCGTATATCGGTCATGTGTGGTGACTATTGGGGGTTTGGAGACCCAAGTGGACCTTTTGCTGCTCAGTATGATCGACTTTGATGTGATATTG